TTCCATACTTCATGCTGCATCATTCTGTCCAGCATCTCACGAGGGCAGTGTTGGTAGCCGCCCTCGGTCTCTTCCTCATCGTGGTGCCCGCAGCGGCTGCTGCTATTACAGTTGAGTGGCGGTGAAGGCATTGGGAAGAAGGAAGAAGCTGTTGAGAGGACATTGCTGCATAACACCCATTAATTAGAGCAAGGAAATGAGAAGTACTGGCCAAATGACTGTCAGCATCATGATGTATCCTTCTTCCATGTCGACTTGAGTATTACCCACTTGAGCTGTGGTAGGCAAGCACCTTATGGCAACTCTTGCCGGGCTATTCAGATCATTTTGGCATTCTATTGATATATGCGCGCGAACAACGAATCTCATCTTGGGCAAGTCGTTCTCAATCTCATCTCAAGTCTCTGCACAGGATAAAGCTGGGTGTTTCTTTCGGTGTTGCTTTGCCTGTTCTGATCAGCTCTCTGTCTGCCCCTTTTGTGGTCCATGCCGTGTTGGTAGAGAGAGCATCATTTGGATGATTGTGTGCATTGATGTCATTCTAAGACTCAAGTATTGGACAGAAGGAAGAATTGTTCGATGAGGCGTGTCTAGGCCTGGATTATTGTGCTGGTGAAGTTCGTGTTCATCACACCACCTCGGATAACAGCCCTCACGTCGTATTGCATGTAATAGCGCGGATCCTTCATGTAGAAAGCATTCCTCTGCCCGTCTCTCGGCTAACCACAACTATCTCGCATGATTGAACTCGGCACATCTTCTTCAGGTGCCTGACAATCATGAACTTCACATGTCATACCCTGTCGGTGGCTGATCCATCGAGAGACCCCCCCAGTATCATATAAAAATGATGAGATACTCGACGGGTTGCGCGATGGTTGAGGGTCAAGCAGCAGCACACCTCACAACCACCTCATAGTCATGAAGTTGTCATCATTGTTGAGCGTTTTAGGCCTCCTGGCCTCTCAGGTCCAGGCCCATCCAGCACTGCTCTCCAAACGGAGTAACTTGGGGTTGCCATTCAAGACTGATAATGGCAAGGTTGTGACTAGCGATGGGAAGGACTTTATCTATCAGGGAACCAACTGGCCTGGCCATATGAACGCGATGGTTCCTGAAGGTCTGCAGTACTCCTCCGTGAAAGACATCGTGAAGAAGATCAAGGGATTCGGACTCAATTCTGTCCGCTTGACATTCGCGATTGAGCTTGTCGACCAGATCTATGAAAAGGGCCATGACACCAATATCGAAGACTCTTTCAAGACTGCTCTTGGTGATACCAATGGGGCCAAGATTCTGAGCGAGATCCTCAAGAACAACCCCCAGTTTTCCAAGGAGACGACCCGTTTGGAGGTCTATAACGACGTTGCGAAGGAATTGGCCAACCAGGGCATCTACCTCCACCTCGATAATCACGTATCAAAGGCTTTTTGGTGCTGCAGCTCAGACGACGGCAATGGCTTCTTTGGAGAGAAGTACTTCAATGTTACGCAATGGATTAGAGGTTGGAAGTATATGGCCAAACATGTATGAGTGATTCCTACCCCTATTTTTCTCGAGCAGTTATTGACATACGGGCAGGCCGACGAAAATTTCCCCTCTTGGGCCAGTGTTGGCCTTAGAAACGAGCTACGAAGCGTCTCGAATCCTTCTAACGCAGAGCCATATGACTGGTACACCTGGTATCAACACATGACCGCCGCTGCGAATGCCGTTCACTCTGCATCGACGAAGCCCCTGCTTTTCTTCAGCGGACTAAACTTTGACACCTATATCCAGGCTATACCCCTGAACCAGGCCCTGAAGGGTACCGATGGGACTTCGACTGAAGGCAAGACTGCGCATTTCGATCCCAACTCTTTCGACTTCAAGGACAAGATTGTCCTCGAACTTCACAAATACGACGGCGATAAGACTCAACAAGACTGCAAGACATGGGACAATAGCTTGTACTCACAGGGCTTCCAAGCTGTCAACCCCAACGACCCTGACACGAAGTATACGTTCCCTGTTGTTTTGACTGAGTTCGGCTTTGCTCAGGATGGCCACTACTACAAGTCGACAACATACAGTAAGTGTCTCATTGACTTCGTTGGGAAGTACAAGGTGGGCTGGCTTCAGTGGGATCTTTGTGGCAGCTACTACACCAAGTGGACTGGAGGGAATAGCTATGTGCAAGACTCGGATGAAGCATGGGGATTGCTCAATCATGACTGGAGTGGCACCAGGAGCCAAGTGACCTTCGACAACAGTTTGAAGAAGATGATCGAGGCTGGCAACAACTGAGGACTGACGTCGTTGGCTTCTATATATTGATTTTGTTCAAGCCAGCATGCAAGCCTGTATATACGCAGCCAGAGTAACGGTCGATCCTCATGCTTGCCCTCTCTCGTTTCCCCTGACTTCAAGGGGTCGTATTCTCGGTATTACATTTGTAGCGCGGTATACGGTGGGGCCCGGACAGCCATACATAAACTTTTCTTCGCATATTTTTTTTTTCAAGGGCAGAAAAATACATTGCAGAACCAACAATCTAAAATCAACATCTTTTCTACTAGATCACTGATACCGTGATCTCGAGGAAACAGCTGGTGCATCAAGATGACGAGCGAAGATGCCGTCGCCAGTGGCGAGACCGTGAAGCGAGAGCAGCCTACTGAGAATGTCGCGGAGCAGTCGCATTCTGCAAAGAGAGTCAAGCTTGAGAACCAAACAGCCGAAGAGGAACCCGAGGAGAAACCAACGGAGCAGAGGAAGGGCACTGCTCCTATCAAGAAGGAGTATGTAGCATCTTCGCGCATTATTGAGTATTGAGGGGACCTACCTGCTAATGTATCGCGTCTAGATATCTCATTGTCACCGAACCTACAACGACCGAAAATACAAACACGGAGGCAATCCAGCAAGATAGGGAGGAGAGAAAGCAATCAAAAAGAGAGAAGAACCGTGGCCAGAACACGAACCGCCGATACCTGCCCACGCGCGACGAGAAACCGCTGTGTCAAACCGTTGCCCATTCACCGGAGTTTTCCCCCAATAGCTGTCCGTTCGGCGAAAAGTGCAGATTTGAGCACAGCATTCGCGACTATCTATCAAAGTACAAGAGAAAGGATTTGACTACGTTTGATGGTATCTGTCCGGTTTGGAAAGAAAGAGGAACTTGCCCCGCCGGCTGGAAATGTCGATTCGTTGGATCTCATATGAAGGAGGTGGAGCATGAGGATGGAAGAAAGGAGTTGGTTCTCGTCGAAGAGCCAAAGGAGAGGCCTACTCGGCCAAACATCGGCCCTGACGGTATCGCCAACGCTGTCTCAACGGAAGACAAGTCACGCCTGATGAAGCGGAAATATGATTTCAGCAGGGCAGATACCTATGTGAAGTGGATCTTTGATGTCTCGAAGCAATTGGAGAAGAAGTTTCACGCGAAGAAAGAGATTGATGTTGCAGAGGATAAACCCAAGGAGCAGGCTGAGGGGCATACTGAGGAGCAAACTGAGGAACAGCAGAAAAAGGAAGAGAATGAGGCCCGGGAGGAGCAGAGGGCAAACTATGTCGAGCCCCCTTTCTTGCCATCCGAGAAGAGACGTCTATATTTCGGTCCAGACACACCAGTCCTCGCCCCTCTCACGACCACCGGCAACCTGCCTTTCCGCAGACTGTGTGTCGAGCAGGGTGCTGCATGCACTTACTCCGAAATGGCCATGAGTATGCCTCTTATCCAGGGTACAAAGTCCGAATGGGCGCTCATGAAGTGTCATGAGTCGGAGACTCTTCCCCCGGCAGTCTCACCCAAGCAGAACATTGTGCAGGACTACGACAATTCGCGCGATATGAAGTTTGGTGCACAGATTGCGGCCAATAAGCCCTGGCAGGCTTTGAAAGCAACGCAGGTGCTGACTGAGCTGTGTCCACACCTTCGTGTCATTGATTTGAACTGCGGTTGTCCCATTGATTTGCTTTACAGAGAGGGCGCGGGGTCTGCACTTCTTGACCAGCCCGGCAAGCTCGAGAAGATTTTGCGTGGTATGAATGCTGTGTCAGGTGAAGTCCCCATCTCAGTCAAAGTCCGTATGGGCACCAGGGAGAATCGACCCACTGCGTTGAAGTTGATGGAACGTCTTGTACTTGGTGGCACGGAGTTTCAGGAGGCCGGCCAGGGAGGTCCAGGAATTGCAGCTGTCACACTCCATGGAAGAAGTCGGCAGCAGAGATACTCCAAGGCAGCTGATTGGAAGTATATCGCTGAATGTGCTGCGCTTGTGAAGCGTCTGAGCACGCAGCAGGACATCCTCACTGATACCGTGCGCGAGGTGGATGAGCGGAACAAGCCCTCAGCGGGCCGTGTCTTCTTCCTCGGAAACGGCGATTGCTATTCTCACGTTGATTACTTCAATGCTACCAATGCTGGTGTTGACTCAGTGATGATTGCCCGTGGTGCGCTCGTCAAGCCGTGGATCTTCGAAGAGATTCAGACAGGACAGTACCTCGACAAGTCTGCTTCAGAGCGTCTTGGTCTCATTGAAAAGTTCGTCAAGTACGGTCTCGATGCATGGGGTTCTGATGAGGTTGGTGTCGGCACCACGCGACGCTTCCTTCTCGAATGGCTCAGTTTCACGCACAGGTATATTCCCATCGGCGTCCTGGAGTACCTCCCGCCAAACATCCAAGATCGTCCTCCTGCTTGGAGAGGACGGAATGAGCTGGAGACTCTTCTTGCTAGTGAGAACTACAAGGACTGGATCAAGATCAGTGAGATGTTCTTGGGACCTGCGCCCCCTGGTTTCCATTTTGAGCCGAAGCATAAGTCGAACGCTTATGAGGTTATTGAGGGGTAGAGGTGGTGTGTATATAGTCTGTCATTTCTCATCTATCGTTCCGGTGCATATGTAGTATTCTCTCGCATGTTCAGGCATAAGACAGATATCTCAATTGTCGTCAAAAGGATTTGGTTAATCAGTCCTTAATTAAGGCAGCAAAAAAAGGAAAAAAAAAAATCCATGTGCCCACACTCGGGATCGAACCGAGGACCTCATCATCACTATCGCGATGTAGTACGAGTGATGCGCTCTACCACTGAGCTATACGGGCAAAATTCAACTAATTAATGACTATAAGCCCCTTATAAAGAGAGACAACCTGCGCGCTTCAAAAAAATTGGCCGCGGAGACCGTGCGAGATCTGAGCTAACGTGCACCGAGCATCCAGCATCCAACCCACCAGAGACAGACAAGCTTGCAACGAGCAGCGATTCACACAACAATCGCGAGATATTGGACCAGGTCGCACCTAGGCTTCTTCTTTGGCAGACGACAATTTGCGATCCGCTTCTTGATTTTGCATCGCGCCTGCTCTCTCGCCAAACCAGCTCCAAAACCTTCGAGCTCTCCCATCATGGCGCCATCAGAGCGCGCTGGAAAGAGTGTTTTCTGCGGAAACATCCCATACAACCTCACTGAGGAGCAAGTGAAGGAGATCCTGAGCACAGCAGGCGCAGTGGAACGATTTCGTTTGATGGTCAATCCCGAGACAGGCAGACCAAAAGGCTATGGATTTGCAGACTTTGCAGACGCGGACTCCGCAGCTTCAGCTGTGCGAAACCTGAACGACTACGAGATCATGGGGAGAAAGATTCGAGTCGACTGGCCACATAATAACGAGAAAGACTCTGTACCGCCTGATTATTCGCAGCTGCCGGGCCATGCGCAGAACCAAGACCGATCACAGATGCATCAATCGTCGACGACTCTACCTCCATTCCCGCCTGGCTCTGAGATACCCGCAGGCCTAACATGCCCTGACGCAATATCCCGCACGCTCGCTGCCTTACCCGCTCCTAGTCTACTCGACGTCCTGAATCAAATGAAGGCTCTTGTCATGAGCGATCCGGCACGCGCAACCGAGCTTCTACGACAAGCGCCACAACTCGCATACGCCATCTTCCAGGCCCTTCTGCTCATGAACCTCGTCGATCAGAGTGCTCTTGCTTCAGTCGTCGAGCAGACAGCGCAGCCTGTCGTCGCTGCTCCGCCGCCTCCAGCACCACAAGCACAACCTTTCGCTCCATATCCTGGCTCCGTCCCAACGCCGGTACATCAGCCTTATATGGCGCCGCAAGCACCTGCTGCAGAGGTGCCCCTAGAGAATCTATCGCCAGCCGAGCTGTTGCAGAGAGTACTGGCCATGCCGCAGAGTGCTGTGGACGCGCTGCCGCCTGGTGATCGAGAGCAAGTGATCGCACTGAGGGCAGCGTATATGAGGTGATGGCCAGGACTTCACTGTTCTCTTCCTTTCGCTCGATTCTTCTCTGGTCTCCCTCCTCCTCTACCTCTATATCTTCCCCGTATTCTTTCGTCCCTCCTTCTGTTTCCTTTGGTGTAGCCGGCGTCTTGTTCTGATCATACTACCTCACTGTTCCTGTTTCTCTAATGTTTTTCCCTAGTATGGCGTTTCTGGAGTGCATCAGCTATATCAAAGCCACGAGAACATACAATCATACACACACACACAAATCCCGAGCCCCAAAGCCGGTCCTCTTCTCAATTCTAGTCAATTCCAGTCAGTGTACGCCGTAGTCCATCCAAGCCGCATCAGCCACATGTCATCCAGTCGTCATACACAGCCACCGCCTTGGGCAGATTGCACGCTACTTTTGCCGTGAACAACATCTCCCCCTTATCGCCGTCCATCGCTCTTACAGCAGGCAAACAAACAAACAACATCTCATCGTCAACATCTTGAAGGGCTGTGTTTGAGGTGTGTTTGACTCCTGCTTTGATATCCTGTTGACTTCGTACTGACCATACCTCTTCCTGCTCATCAGTCGCTCCGCCGCACGACCTCTCAAGACTGTCCCGCACTTACCGCGAATCTGAACGTGAAGCCACCCGGGAATCAGATTAGAGAAAAACAGACCTTACTCTCATCATTTGACGATTCGAGCAGGCTTGCTCAACTGCAATCATGACGCTCTACTACAGTCTCGTACGTTGGATCTCCCTTAAATGCCCCCCCGGCAGCTGGAATGTCGATGCGGGGCTTTGTGGCACATGTGGTCTTCGTAGTTTCGAGAGGCCTGGCTACGACGACGATTCACACGACGCTAACAGTTGGTTGATATCTAGGTCTTTTTCGTCTTCATGGTCGAGCTAGTTGTCTTCATGACACTGCTCATCCCGCTCCCATTGACCATCAGACACAAGATCTTCACTTTCATCTCCGCGCACCCCGCTATGGAGCAAATCCGCCATTGGAGCAGAGTATGTTGAATGATTGTTCGTTCTGGTTGATGATGCGAATGAACTGCTGACATATAGCTCAGATCGCTTTCCTCTTCATCGCCATCCTTTTCGCCGACAGTGTGAACCGTGTCTACCGTGTTCAGTTGGAGCTTCAAAATATCTCCCGAGACCAGAGCGGCGCGTAAGTTTCACTCGTGGAAGATGCATGATTCGGTAGTCTCTAGAGCAAATGCTAACATCTTCCCTCATAGTGCTGCTGCCCTTGGCGCAGAGCGCCTTGAAGTCCAGGCTCGCAAGTTCTACTCTCAGCGCAACATGTACCTCTGCGGCTTCACCCTCTTCCTCTCACTCATCCTTGACCGCACCTCCAGCTACATCCGCGACATCATTAGCTTGGAGATGCGCCTCAAGAAGGTCACCACCAAGGACACCAAGGAAGATTCCAGCGAGGTCGCGCGCTTGAAGAGGGAGCTCGCGCTCAAGGAGAAGGATATCGAGGCCCTGAAGGCCCAAAGTGCCGGCCTTGCTCGCGAGTACGATAGACTCGGTGACGAGGTTACGGGTAAGAACTCTGACGGCACCCCGAAGAAGGATCTGTAAAGGGTTCCTTAGTTGTCAGGAATGACTGAGGATACACGATTAAAAACAGCTTGGCCATGGACCGCCGTCATGATGCTGCGATGTTCTCAGCTGGTGAGAAGCTGAGAATATGTCCATCTCGCCCAGTGATCACGAGCAACGATTCAAGCCGCGGAGGATGCTATCTTATTTCCCATCCCCCCTGGCTCCTTGAGACCCATCATACACCCATGACCCGCATCTTCTTTTTGCGTTCTGTGTTTGTTTATCTCCCTGCCATACCATTTACTTCAAAGCAACCGCACTTGTGGCGTACTTCCAATACAAATCCATTACGTTTGTTGTATTCGGTTGTAAGAAACCATGTATCCCAGTTCTCAATGCCGAGGAGAAAGGTTCACAAGTGGTCCGTTGCGCTACAAATCGCTTCTTTTCCAGCCCATCAAACTCCATCGTAGACCGCGGAAGGAGAAGAATCGAAGCTTGCGAATGAGATTTTTCGGCTATGCCCATACGGATATACACGCCGCGTTTTTTTTTTCTTCAAGATGCATTCGACAGAGATCTTGAACTGACATCATCCAGCTCCACCGCAACCGCCAACCAATACAACAATCAACAGACAAGCATTTTCAAAACCCCCTGGTATCAAGCCCCTGGATACGGTGCCGATAGTCCGTTGGTACAGGTTGCACAGTTGCATCGAACGCAACACCGTTTGCTGCCAGTTCGTGATTTTCGTAAACTGACACCAGGGTCGAATCTCGTGCTTGAACAGCAATGGTTTGAGCTAGACAAGACCGGGCGGATGACATGAGGATATGGATGCGTTGATTGCTTCCAGAAATAGGCATGGATGATGCTTGCAGCGGGATGGTGTCAACTGATTTGATATGGCCAGGGGGTTATTGATGAATGCAGACCCATTTCGCTGAAATGATGACTGCAAGAGAGCAAATCCTGATCAATCATATTACCTCACAGACAAAGACGGTCCCCCATCTCCATCGAGTTGGTTGTAGCCTATAGATTTTGATTCCTCGTTGGCTGCTTCAGTCGATGATACCACCGTGTTTGATAGGAAAAACATTCCTTTCGTTGGCGGGCGAGCACATTTCTTGATAGATGACGTGATGTCCATGAAAACACAGAAAGGCAAAAGTCGCCGTCTCCAATGCAAACTGTAAGTCGACCTCTGCAATCGACACGTAGCCAAAGGACCAGCTAGCCAGCGAACCAAGTTGGTTTCCTGTATCCGTATCCGTAAACCCCTTTCTTCGCGCCCCAAATCAATTGAGAGCAGCAATGCAGCCAAGTCCAATCAATGAAGCTGTAGACAAGCTTAATCCAGACATCCTGGCAAAAGGTCTCACTTCACGCCTTGCTATCAGCGGAGCGGGATTGCATCAGCAGGGTCAATTGAATGATCGACACGAAGCAGACAGTGCTTATGCGATGAGTGGTACATACCAAGCCAATAGACCAAGTCGTAGGCACCTCCAAGGACAGATCTGATATCGAAGAAAGCCCGCCCAGCTCTTAGAGCAGAATATGGCATGTTGAGACACACAATTGGTAATCGTCAAAAACCTGTCCTCCGTCTCGATTCTGCACTAGTCACGATGATAGGCTCGTAGCCACGACAGATGGCCTCACACAGGCCTCATTTGCGGGGCCCTCGTCCAGTTGGACCGCAGACGTGGTCGTCTCTGTGGTGTTTCTCCCAAGATCAGCCATCATCATCCATCACTGCCCCCCTGTTGTTGATAATCATAGCGTTCTATGATACGAAGCTCTTGACATGACATGGGTCCCTCCTCCCACGCTCGAAACAAGCTTCTTGGCCCTGCCTTGATGGATGGCCGTGCTCTGCATGACAGACCTCGAGGTGTCCTATGTCTTGGACACGAAAGCTGCCATCGACCATGCTTCCCCAGACGAACCAAGCATGTGTCCTGTCGGGTCAGGTGCACTGACTGGCCTGGTGATGGCCAGCCAGGGCCGCACAACACCCTTGAACATCTTTATCAATATCAATTGAGGGCTTCTTGGTGGCTAGATGGGCGGGTTTCTAAGCAGCCAAGAGCAGTGCTCTGCTTCGGCCCCGTCTATCTAGAGTCTTGGACATCAGGCCACTGCTGTGCTCCATTGGCGTAGATGGGAGAACGACAGCTGTACCTGATGATATCAAATTGAACACTGACCGACTGACCGTCGGCACACCCTGTACAGCTACAAAGTACAAACATGGGGAATTTGCGGGGGAGAAGG